GGGGGGGGGGGGGGGGGGGGGGGGGGGGGGGGGGGGGGGGGGGGGCCTGGCCCGGCGGCATCAGGAGGTGCTTCGTCGGCATCGCGGCGACCGCGTCCCCACGGCAACCTCGATACGGAAGCCGGAGGTGGCGGCAGCAGGACAGCGGGAGAGGAGAAGAAGTCGCGAAAGGACGGCGACGGCGACAGCATGGATGTCGAAGACGACGTTCAACTGGTCACAAAGGAGTGTCGTAGTCGTTTCTTTTGTGACGCGGGCACGCCGCAAGGCTCGGCGGCGGTATCATTGTCGCCGCTGCCGCCTCGCAAGGAGGCCGCTGCAGCAGCCGCTTCCGCCTCAGCTGCTAACTGCGGTGCTCCTGCCGGCTGGCTATCGCCGAGACGCCGCCCGCCCGGCTCGCCGCCAATCCGTGTGCCCGAGCGTGCGGGCGGCGGCACCACCGCCCCCATTGCCGGCAGCACTGTTGTCGGCGGCTCTGACGCCTGTCCGTCGCGAAAGGCAGCGGCAGCGACCGAGCCGCCAGACCCTCCCGAGGTCCACAACGTCGATGACGAGGTTGACCAGCGGAAAGAGGATGAGGCATCTGATTCCAAGGGGAAGAGACATCCGAGCGGTCTCCCGGTGCCATTCATCGGCCCCGCGCGGCCGCCGCCCGCCGCCGCCGCCGCCGCCGGGCGGGCCTTGCCGCCGCGGCCCAAGCCGCTGCAGCTACCGCAGGGGGAGCAACGCCGCTCCTCCTCCTCCTACTTCCAATCTCCGCGCCTCACGTCCGGGATGAAGCCGCGGAGCGAAAGCAACAACCAGGACATTCGCAGGAATTTTATTGGTGGCGCATTTCCGAATGGCGGGGCCCGCAGACTTGGAGGAAGCAGCTGGAAGAGTAGTTCTGGGGCTAGCAGCCGGGGTGGCAGTAGTGGGTCTGGGTCTGTGCTAGGCGGTGGCGCTGCGAAGGGATCGGGCGGGCAGAAGACAATATTATCGTCCTGGGAGAAGAAACCCTCATCGTCTTCTCACAACGGTGCCGGTAGCGGCGGCGGCGGTGGCGGTGGCGGCGGTGGCGGCGGTGGCGGCGGCAACAGCTCCGGAGACGAAGCAGAGTGGAGACCGCCGGGAAAGGCCGCGGCGGCGGGCGGAGGTGGTGACCGAGGGGGGCTCCGCAGTAGTAGTCGCGGGGGGAAGGTGCTGGAGGACCTCACCGGAGCGGACGAAGGGTGGGAGGACATAGGAGACCTGAAGAGTGCCGGTGTAGGCGGCGGAGGGTCGGCGTCAAGTGTTGCCGGCGGCGGCCTGGGCAATATGACGTTGAGAACCATTCGAGGCATCAACCTCCAGCAGGATCACTTCGATCGTATCGTCGACAGCGACGGCTGGCTAACGTCCCAGGTGATCTTGTGTGGCGTCTCGAGCCATGCATGCGCAGGAAGTGTATGCTGGCTGGGAATGAAAGGATCAGCTGAAGCAAGCTCANGGGGGGGGGGGGGGTCGTTCGTCTTTTGTAAGTACTCAACGAAAGGTGCGCCCACATGCCCGCCTTCGTCTTGCACCGGGGTCGTTTCATTTATTCTTTACCTACTTTCCAACCGTTTGTCTCGTCGGGCGCCGGTAGGTCATCGACATCCGCGTGAAGCAGCTACAGGAGAGGTACCCGCAGCACCTGTACTTCGATTCGTCCTTCTTCGGCTTCCTGTGCCCCACGACAGAGAAGGTGAGAGAGAGTCCAAGCCATCCGTGTGTGTGTGTAGATTTGTGGTTCTTGTGGTTGTTCCAGCAGGCACTAGGCTGTAAGACTCCGAGCCGCGTGTGGACGATTATGATCCTTGTGGTTGTTCCAGCAGGCGCTACGCTGTGTGTGTGCTGCGTTTTGGGGTGTTCTGTAGAGTCCACGCATGTGTGGATTTGTGATCCTGGCGGCTTTTGGGACAGGATGCCAAACTACTTTTGTGATGATGATGTATCAACTCTGCCGGTGTACTACTGTACCAACGTGGCCCATCTGGCATGTAAGTCTCTCCAGATGGTGGGAGTACATTGGCCGTGTTCATGAGTGCGGTTTCTGCACAGCAGCGGGGCTGCCCGAAACCAAAACGAGCATATCGTGAAATTATTCCTCGGGTTTGGTGTCTCTGGGGCCATCGAGCCGAGGTCGGGCCCGGGCAGTGTGTGGGGGGTTGCCTGTTTTCTCCCTCCCCTCTCTCCTTGCCCTCCTGTCCCCGAATATCCCTCTCTTTCCTCCCTCGCACTCCATCCTTTGATTTTCCATTATCTGTTGCCAGCTCAGCGCCTTTGTCATACAAACCAGATACCCACGAGTCCATTGAACAATGTTTTGGCGGGTGATTTTACCCCTGCTACCACGACAGCCTCGGATGCAAATAGAGCGGGACGCACCGTAACGCGTGCACACCTCGAACCAAAGCAACAAACCCCACAGCGCAAGCAAACACGCAAGCAAGCAGCTGCAGGAATGACGTCACCATGCCTGCCGGACCGGGCGCCTGTACATGTGTGTGTGGGTGTGTTTTTCATTATAATTAGCGTCGACCGCGCTAACCGGCTGACCAATGAAAAGACGTCAGTCTTTATGCGGTTGAAAATACAAAATGCTTATCAAGGCCACATGGTCTGTGTGTGTTAGCATCTTGTGATCGGTCGGTATCGTAGCTTGACGCCTTTTCCCCGCGAACCATGGGCACACCGCACCGACAGGGAGGAGCTTTCGTGGTAGACTACGCGAGAGTGGCGGGCTGGACCAAGCAATCTAGGCTGCCCGGCGGCAAGTCGTCGCTCTTCGACATGCGGAAACTTTTCATCCCGATCAACCAGGGCAACGTCCACTGGGTGCTGGTGGTTGTGGACATGGATAGCGATGATAAGGGCGGCGGCGGCGGCGGCGGCGGCGGTGGCGGCAGCGACAGGGGCAACGTGGGCGGCGGTGGGGCCAAGGTGGTTTCCTTTTTCGATTCCTTCGGGAGGGAAGGGACTCCCTACGTCGAGGTGAGTTTCCAAGTTAGGTTTTCTGCAGACCCGGCGCTGCGCTTGTTTTTTATGGTTTTGTTGGGTGTCACGGAATCCCGGGCACACTGCCGGTCGGATTCCTTCATTCCTTGCTTGGGCGTTGCGGAACACGAACACTGGCTGCTCTTTGACGGTAATTAAAGGTGAGATCATGCTACGAGGCATACCCGTTTTTGACGTTATCTTCTCTTCTCCCGGTCCCATTCGTTGCCTGCCTGCCTGCCTGCCTGCGTTTGCATGTGTCCTCTTCTGTCTCTGTTTCTGAGTGCCCGCCTCTGCTTTCTCAGCATCTCCCTCCTGTGCCTCAGGTGGCTGCCTCTGTTTTTTGTCATAACAACAACCACGACAACGACAACGACAACGGCAACAACGACACGAAAATAACATCAGCATCATCAGCAACAGCAACAGCAACATTACACAGTTGACCGCCACCGCCGCCCGGCCACCCGCCTGCCCCTTTTCCCCCGCCCCCTGCCCCGCGTGGTGTGGTTGACTAACTACGAAAACAGGCCGTGCAGCAGTACCTCGTGAGCGAGCTCAGCAGCCGAGACAAGACGCGACAGGAGCTGTTCACGCCCCGACCCCGGCCACCGGACAACGCCCCTCGCCAGCACAACAGCAGCGACTGTGGGGTTCTCATGCTACACGTCATGGAGGTGATTTTTTTTTTTTTCTCGTCACCTTTTTTTCGGGAATAAATTTATACATTCAATCCAAGGAAAACTACCCGTTCGAGATATAACCACAGTCGAAGGGAATGGGTTGAAGTCTTCACGGTGAATGGAGACTTTTATGGTTATTGGACGACGAGTTTAAGTAGTGTTGCGACTTGGTTTGCGCGCTGGATCCCCCGGCAAGGTTGGCATGGCCTGCGACTAACCAGCGGGTTGCAGCAGCAGCAAGAAAGCAGTACAGCGGACTAGAGTGCGCTAATCGTCAGAAAAACCTACCCTTCAAGCCAACCAACTAGCTGTAGCAGTGATCTGGTCATCATATTCGGCAAGCGCGCACACCATCAAATAGACCCCCCCACCGTTTTTTTTACCTCTTTTTTTTGGCGGTAACCATAATGGTGGTCGAGTGGATCATGTTGTGCGGGGTCGAGAACCCTCACTCCGCACAAGGGGGATGATCGCACCACGTTGTGTTACAATGGTGAAGCACCCTCGAGGCAGTTACACAGTGCTTATAACTGTCTCTGGAAGTGAAAGCACCAGACAATAAATTAAGTCATACGCAGCTGTCATCCGTACGCAAGGAAGTAAGCACAAGATGCCGAACACCCTTAGCAGGATGCAGCGCACCCTTCATGCGACTCGCCGAATATCTCACGGCGCTTTGCGCTTGGTGATGTGAGAGCCTGGTCCGGTGAGAACCCGGCGTGCTCCGTCCCGGCTTTGTAGAGATGCGAGCTCAATGGTCTAACGACTACGGCATGCACGACTTTGAGTACACACCCCCCCCTCCATATTTTCTATGCTGTGTGCGTTCAGGAGTTATCGACTGGGCCCACGGATGCGCTGGCACCGCTGACACAGGAGGAGATCCAGTCCCTGCGCTTGGTCCTCATCGCGAACATCCTCGATGATGAGCAGGTCTCATGAGGCAAGACCCCATCCAGCAGCTGTTGCTGCTGCATACATGCCGCTGCTGTGACTGCTTGGCCTCGTTCAGTGTGTATGTTGTATTTGTACCTACGGCTGCCACCGCTGCTGCTGCTACTACTACTGCTGGTGCTGGTGCTGGTGCTGCTCGTGGGTCCACGGAGAAGTAGGCCGGGACATGTCAAAGAGACGGTCAGTCGAGAGGAGCTGGGTCACGGCGCTCACTCTAATGTTGTTAGTCTCGGGCGGCCGCTCGGCAGACCCCACGCGAAGCTGCGCGGTCATGTCATATGGGAGTCACAACAGCCCGGTTTTCCCCTCTGCGTTAATCTGGTTTCCCACCGAGCCCATCGCATAGTTGACCACTACACGAGGCATCGTCGTGGCTGAAGCCAGCCCAACTTCCACCAGGAGGCATTGGGGTATGCTTGTTCGCTGCAAGTGGTTGAGTTGTTCAAGACGAGCGCTTGTGACCGGCTGGGGCGACGCAGAATGGGTTCAGTTTTTGGCCTGACGGAGGCCGGACGGGTTTGGGGCCGGGGGTTGGGGTTGTGTATTTAGCGCTGTAAAATCCTAGAGAAATAAGTCGAATGTTGGTGTGTTGTGTTTGTGAGTGACAGTCGAAGCGCCTACACGAACGAACGGCCTCTGGCTGAGCAGGAAGCGAAGCAAGCGTCCGTGCTTTGGTATCCCTCTCTCTCTCTGCTGTTTCGAGAGGCGGTAGGTTGGTGGTGTACTTGGATTGAGTGCTGGCGGTATTTGGGTTTGTTGTTCGCCTCTCATCAAGTTGGCATTACCCGGTTGGTTGCACACCCCCCCCAACGCTGCACCATTGCACCAAACCCCCACTAGTGATGACGTACCATAACAATGTATCGCTGGTTGGTGGCCATGTTCGCGTGTTTGCTTGTTCGTTGCTGGTCTCTCCACCGTGTGCCTTTTTCTGTCTCTTATTTCTTATTATTTTCGGCCTGGTCCCTTTTTGCCCTCGCTCTGTTTCATTTCATTTCCTCTTTCCTTACTATTTCCTTCTTTTTTCTTCTCTCTTTCTCGTTTTTTTTTTTCTCTCTCTTTCCCGTGCCAGATGGCGTTGTCTCTGCTTGCGTTGTGAAGTAACAAGATTGAACCAAGGGGGTGTACCTCTTCTCTCCGGCTCTCCGGCATAGTGCACAGAGGGAGTGGAGGACTCCAGAATATCTGTCGTTGATTTCTATTGACTTGCGGACCCCTCGGGGCCAGTTTTTTTTAGTGTACATTTTCAGGGTAAGTTAGCCTGCGACCACGGGAATCGACCGCGTCGAGTGTTGGATCAGTACGGATATACGAAGGTACTGGGTAGAGAGAGATCGGAACGGTTTTTAATGTGAAGACAACAGCAACAACAACGTGGTGTGTGTGTGTTTGTTTTTTCACGCCGGGTTGCTCAACATGACGAGGGTATGAGTGTGAGATACGGAAGTCGGAGTTATACTTTGTTGGGATCCCTCTTGTTTTTTCCATCAATCGGAAGTGTTTTACATCAGGTCCTGTAACTTTTGGATCTTGTGTGGCACGCAAAGCTATTCTATCCCCTCACCATCTCGTAGGAGTTTCACTTTACGAAGGGCGGAAATTAAACTCACGCCGGTTTCTAGACATGGCGTTCGCGGATGACACCACCTGTATTTCTACGGTTCCCCGAACAGCATGCAGCGATACCTCCTTTGTGGGTAACAGGCTCAACAAGATCGTTTGGTGGTTGTGTCGTTTCAAGCCGGTTTGCTTTGTTAATCTAGTCGGTGCGTGCGCGCGTGGTTTTGATGTTGGTTCATATCCTTGAGCAGGTGGCTGCACAGGTCCGTACGACGGATTGGTTTGACGGTGAAATGTGATCGGTTGGGTGGTTGAACTGTTTTATTTTGTTATTGTTTGTGACGAAGTTGGGTGCGAGAGGAGGAGGGCGTGGGAGCCTCTGGTGTCTATTTGTGGCATTCCGGTTGCGCTTTCTCTGTTGGCGCCCTTTGTGCTGCTCATTGGGGTGGGTGTGCCGTGCACACAGGGGTACGTGGAAGGCTCCTTCGTGTGGAACAAGGTGAAGTGGTACCTGAAGTTTATCAAATCACAAAGTTCGCGGGCTGCATACTAGGGTCGCAGTTGGCATAGCCTCCTAACTTTCTGACTACCGCGATTGTGGTTTCGAATATCTCTGGAGTGGAGACTAGGTTTTCCAAGGATGGAAAGCGCCTACTCGCGAGTTGTCAAAAGACGAAAACAAAGACTGCGGTTGTATCTCCACGAAAAGAAAAAACTTGTTTTCTAAAGAAAAAAGATTTGCTGAACCCTCTTACAAAACATTTGGTGTATGCCATCGGGGGACGCACTCGACACTAAACATATGTATGTTGTTCATCGCTGTAGATCAAAGTGCCAAACTTGCGTATGCTTCTCATCGGGGGACGTACGGCCGCACTCGGCACGACGCCCCCATTGCCTCCGCCAGCTCCCGGGCGCGCCGTAAGTCCACCCCGTGTCGGTGAACCACCGTACACTCCGTCGCCACCCCCCGGGACGCGCACTCCTTTACCAGATCGCACACATAACCGTGGGCTACTGGTCCTGCTCCTTCCTCCACAAGCCCGTCCAATGATGGTTTCATGAGCTGCGGTTGAGACAGAACGTGGCCGGTGGTATGTTATTGGTGAGGCGGGAAGCGGTGGGGGTAGGCAAGGGTAACGAACGTTCCCGTCCATCGAGGAAGGGGCAAATAGACACGCGAAGATGAGCAGCCCGATTGTTCTCTGTTTTTATGGGCGCTGACAGCAGTCTTCATTTTCGCACGTTCACGGCGTCTTGCCCTGGTCGAGCGAACGTGGAGAGAGACGCGAAGTTGCGCGCGAAAACGCACATAAAGGTGCTCCAAGTATGCATGATTGGCGTTGTCACGCGACATTCTTCTTGCGGGGATCTTTTCGTGTTTGGATGTTTTCAGTACCACCTCAAGCTGCCGGGCTCTTCAAAAAACATGGAGAAGACGTGAAGAAGAAGCAAGCGATGTGAACGTGGTATTAGAGGACCTCTGGCAGGTAGGTCTCGTCGACATGGTCGGTCAGTTACTGCTTGTGCTGCCCCTAATCAAGCCCGTCTCTCTCTGTGGGGAACACTGTCTGCCGTCAACAAGGAGGGCGATGACACGAAAAGGTGACGTGTTGATGACCCATTGTTGGGTCGCCAGAGAGCAAACTCATAGGAAAAAAAATTGATAATTTCCACGTGGGGGGGGGGGGCATGCCTACTTGTCTGCATGCATAACAGGAGGTGCAATTGGGAAAAGGCTTGCCACCATCCAGCAGACGCCCAAGGCGCGAAAAACACGCCATGGACGGGACGGAGCCAGTCGTGCTGACATTTAATCTATGATCTGATTGGCCGGCTAGTACTCAAATCTGCACCAACGTGAGAGCGCTCGCTCACCTCTTGGTACTGTGCAGGGTCCGCGGTGTTGAGCGCCACCGACACCGAATCGAATACCTCCGCTATCTGCTTCGCTACGGAGGCGGCGCTGGGGCTAGCTACCGCTCCCCGCTCCGCAGACCCGCTGCGGTCCGCGATGCCCCCGCTTGTGCCCGATGCCGCACGGACCTTGAAACCGCCTCCCCCGGCGCCGCCGCCCCCTCCCACTCTCCGTCTACCCTGCCGATCAACGTTACTCTTCGCCTCTCCGGTATATCCGGAGGTGTCAGCTTCGGGGGAAGGCGGGCCGACCACCTGTTCGTCCACCGCCACCACCGGCCACAACCCATTGGTGACCAGACGTATCGGCATCACGACATCCTGGCTGGGGCGTGTTGTCGCCGCGCCGCCGGTGGGGGTAGCGTCGGCGCCGCTACCATCCACCTTGCTGTTCTCCGCAGAGCGCGGTCGAAGAAGGTTTGCATGGCGAGATCTTAGGGACATGACCACCTGAGCGGCGGCGCCGGCGTGTGTGACACGGACAGACGGCGTGTGTCAAAAGATTTTTTGTGGCTGCGAAGGATTCTTGGTTGCAAAGCACATTAAAGAACGGAAAATGTTGTTGGGCTTTCGATTACGCCCCCCCCCCCTCCTTGAAGAAACAAACTCCAGTGATGTCCATTCCTCCTGTGCGACCCCGGTTGGTTCGTCAACCATGATACCGAGAGTTGTAGACAAATGGGTGCCCAGAATTGATGGGACGAAAACAAGCCTTCCCCGTGGGTGGGCAATGCTTGCCATAAGAAAGGAACTGCCTGAGGCACCTACGTCTCTGACGACAGGCCACCGAAGCAGGGGCTCCCCCACCCCCGCGAAGACGAGCTCGTCGAAAAGGCCGCCTCCCGCCCTGAGCGACCTCATCGACACAACAGACGGCGTGGAAGGGGATACGTAACAGCAGTAGCAGTAGTAGTAGCAGCAGCAGCAGCAGCAGCAGCAGCAGCAGCAGCAGCAGGGCGAGTTGCTCCGTTCCGGCGGCTTGGGTTGGAAGAATGGACGCGCAAAGGTCGACATCGGACATGATACTCGTGTGTCGTCCCGCAAATCTAGCGGTCGCACACGCACCACACACCCTCCGTCTTCTCCATCACCNATGCCGAACACCCTTTGCAGGATGCAGCGCACCCTTCATGCAACTCGCCGAATACCTCACGGTGCTTCGCGCTTGGTGATGTGAGAGCCTGGTCCGGTGAAAACCCGGCGTGCTCTGTCCCGGCTTTGAAGGGATGCGAGGTCAATGGTCTCATGACTACGGCATGCACGACTATGAGAACACCCCCCCCACCCGTCTCACTCGCCACTGCCGCCGCCGCTACCACTGAGCCGTTCCGTCACGTCTTGGAGGATCTCCACCGGCGAAGGCTCGACATCCGCCGGCAAGGGGTGAAAAGAAGGCGGCATGAGGAGGCCCGGACCCCTTGAAGCTATCAAACTCGTCGTGGAGCAGCGGTTGGTCACCGCGACGTACCTCTCCGGGCACAAGAAGATAGTTGATGCGTGGACGGCGGAGCGGGGGGGGGTTATTCGAGCGTGGTGTGCAAGCGTACGGGGCGTTGATACCGCGATCCACAATACAAGCTTTGGACTACGTACATGTACGTCTGGTGCACGCATTTTGGTGGATACGACACTTCATGCACGGAGCAAAAGAGGGATCGTATCAAAGGATAGACGACGGAGCTCACTGCTGCTGTATGTAGTCTAGCTGCAGCGTGGAGACAACATACGCTACATTTTGCATTGACTGGCTATTACTGTGGATAGGACAGCGCTGAACAGAGTACGGAGGAAAGAAATGCGCAAATGAGAAATGCAAGACGTAATAATCACAATACAGCGCGGGGTTGGTGTGTTTGTGAATATGTGTAAGAGAAAATAAATCATCATGTGGCCCGCCGGCAAAATCGATCGACGTCGAGAGCATTTTGCCGACAGCCTTACGCGCATTGCGGGCACATCGAATAAGTACATCATGCCGAGTGGAAATTAACAAGTGGGATATCAGGATGAAAAAATAGAGTTCACAGCCATGTGGGAGTTGCGCTTTGGTGACAGAGATCCTTGGCTTTAGTACCGCCGGAGCATGTCGGGCATAGCGTAGACTGGACACTGCCGCTGCATTTGGGGAAGTCTACCCGCATCGTACAACTGGAGACTACAGCAGATTTCATGAATTCTTGCCCCGTGGGGAGGACATGGACTACATCGTATTCAGGTGCTTGACCGTGTGCTTTCGCAGCGCTTAATAGGAACTACAGTAGCACACTCACAGCGACGAGCGTATTGTGTAGGTGATCCCTCGCATGTCTCTCGTAGACGCAATGGCAACACATGCATGACATGCACGCACTACACCGGGGGGGCACAATTTTATCGCAACCCCTCCCCCTCCCCCCGAGTGCGAATCGCGTCACCCACCTCGCCTGGCTCTCTTCTTCTCTTCCGGGTCCGGCCTTCAGCCTTGTGTTTTTGGCGCAAGCACATCAACCTCGCTCAGTGTGAGACTGGCCTACCCTCAAGGATCCAATAGAAAAGGAAAAGGAAAAGGAAAAGCACCCATGCGTGAAAATCGGCGCAATCAGCTGCTGCCCTGGCGGGGCGGCGGCGGCGGCAGCGGCCAGCTCGTGATGTGCGGTGTCCTTGTCTTGGCAACAACTTCTCGGGCGCTCATGACGTCACTGCAGGTGTGGGTGATGTAAAATGCCTGCTACTGCTGTACAGCAGTACGGCGATGATGATAGAGACGGGGGTGTGATAGGAGTGGTGCTGCTGTTGGGGCTGCCGTTTGTACGGGTATGGGGCAAGAATGGGCAGGGGGAAAGGAGAAGGCGGCGTGGGAGTCTCTACAGCTCCGTCAGTGATGCGTTTTTGTCTCACCGTAACCCGCTCTTCGGCTGTGTCATACATCACTGCGGCGGGTCAATGCGCACCTACAGCAGCAGTTTTCGCGATACTTTACTTCGGGAGCTGATTGACCTCAACACTCGGAACTCAGTAGCGTTTTCCTGAGCGCATGACAAGAGATTTCGATCTGGCTGTGCAGTTGTTCTGTGAACAACGTTCATTTTTGTGCACGTTGCGCAGTCGGCCCTACATGTTGTAGCAGGGTTGCGTACCGTTGGGGCCGTTCAGTATGACCACATCTCATGTATGCACACTTCGTTGCATAGTTGTACGAGGAACAAACCACCCCCCTCCGCACGGGCCGCTCGCCCATGCGTATTGATTGGCGAGAGACAGCTTCTGAGTCACATGGACCTAAGTATTTAATGCATGCACGAGAGGATCCACGATCCACTGATGATGTGGTGCCTCATCTTCCCTCCAATATTTGGAATACTGCTGTAGTTGTACATGTGCATACAGCAGTAGTGTAGCGCCAACGAGCCGCGCCGTTCCTCCCTCGCCAGTAGACTTCAGGTTGGAGCAGTATCGCCCTGACGAACATGGCGGGCCTGAAGGTCTTTGTCACCCCGTTGCAAGTCTCTTCGATACCCAGTTGATGTCGCACGCATCAGTCATGTAGCACACCGAAGCACGCAAACATGCACCCGGCGGACACCTTGGCACTTGCTATTATTGGATATCACTAAAAGATATAGTAGCTGTCGCTAAAACGAGCGACAGCTGATAGATGTAACTGTCGTCAGACGTGTGCGTCCGCGGGAGGTGGAAGAGACCCTTTCTTCTTCTTTTTCTCTTTGCAATTCACGTCATTGGTTACCCGCGACGGCGCTGAAGACGCCCATGTCCGTGTACTTGACCCTCGTACTCTGTGCTAACTCCCCAAGTCTAACCTCTTCCTGCAGCCTAGCCTTCATCGTCGGCGAATTTCCAAGGTTACCAATCCTGTCGAAACTCATGGGCTCTACCATGAGGTCCACAAGTCTCTTCGCCCTACTGAGACAGACGAAAGTAAGCCCCGTGCAGGCCTCCTTGGGCCCCAAGTCAATGACGGCCTTGGCTAAAGTCTGCCCCTGGGACTTGTGCATCGTAATTGCCCAGCAGAGCCTAAGGGGCAGCTGCGTCCTGACCTGCGTCCCCCCGTCCTGCCAGGTGGTGTCGACGGGAGAAATAGGGACACAACGTCTATACCTCTCCTGAGACGACCATTCCCCCCCCGAGTACCCTTCAAACTTGACGACAACGTAAAGGGGGAGCTTCGGCGGGGGCGCATCATCTGCGCACACCAACTCGACGACTTCGCCTCTAATGCCGTTCACCAGCCCAACTTGTTGGTACAGGTTCTTCGAGAGCATAACCTTCGCTCCCTTGGCTAAGTAGAGGTCCCTCTCGAGCCCCTCCGCGGTGTCTGCTGTCGCCCTCCTGGCGTTCGCGCCCGTGTGGACGGCGCTAACACGAGCGACGGGGTTGTCCAGCTCCCGGAGTTTCTTGCCGTTGTACTTGTTGACCTCTTTCTTGGAGTAGAAGAGCCTCGTTGCGTCCTCGAAAGCCGCTTTCTCAGCGGCGGTCAGGCGGTTGGGCTGTCTCTTCAGGAGGAGGTCCCAGTCCTCGTCGCAAAGCTGTCCATCACGCGCACGCGGCAGCAGTTCGATGAAGCCTCTCTGGTCGTCGTCGTTGGCGGCGGCTGCCGTCTGCCGCTGAACTCTGTCAAGGATGAAGACGTCCTGGAAGAGGCTGTAGGCGGCATAGCCTTCAACGTTGAGCGCGGCAGCTGGGTTTTGCTTGTACAGCGGAGTTCCTCCCACCGGTTGCAGCTGGCCCAGATCGCCGGTCATGATCAGGGAGATTCCGCCGAAGGGTTTGTCTACAGCTGTCCCTTGTCGCAGACGTCGATCGACCCACGCCATCTGGGACTGGCTGACCATCGATAGCTCGTCGATGATGATGTACTTGACGCCAGTAAGGGAATTCTGCAGGGCTTTGAGGCTTTGACCCTGGAGATTCCTTCCTTGCCTCACCGGCAGTCGGAGGAGGCTGTGCAGCGTGCTGCCGGCGATGAGGAAGGCCGCCATACCGGTTGGAGCTGCCCGTCGAAGGAAGCCGCCGAGCAGCCTGGAGAGGGCATACACGAGGTATGATTTCCCCGTGCCTGCCGTCCCGAGAACCATCATGCGCAGTGGCTCCTCGCGCTCGTTCTCGAAGTGGTCCCTGACGACGTCGTAGCAATTGCGTTGCCGCTCATTGAGAGAGTCCGGAGCCACATGAGGAATCTCGGTGGCGGGGCCAGTGCCGGCTGCAGCTTTCTTGGCGTTCGCAATCCACGTTGGCCCTCTCTCCAGCTCATGTTGGACCTCAGTCGCTCGGGCGCCGGCCCAGTTGTATTCAGCGTCCCACCTTGTGTCAACCTCCTGTTCTTCCCTGGCGGCGCCTCTTCGCCGCATGTTGGCCCCATCCATCCAATCGTCGGGCTGGTCTAAGAGCAAGCCGTCGTCGTCGTCGTCTTCGGCCGTGGACGCGGCCTCTCGGCGGGCAAGAGACAGCCGCCCTGCCAGCATGTCGCCGAAGCGCAGCTCGGGCAGGTCTTGGTTGGCTTGGACGAAGGCGTCCCACAGCAGGGCGAGCTTGGGTTCCTCTCCGGAGATGGAGGCTGAGGCATCCAGGTCCGTGACTGCCCCCATGTCGCGGCAGGCTGTTGTCGGCTCATCCTCCCATGGCCTGTGGGCGAAGAGGTTGTTGCGGCAGGCCTCAAGATGCCGCGCGCTCCCCGGAGAGCACGGCAGGGCAGGCAGCTTGATGACGACGAGGCTGCCCGCGCCGTCTCTCGCCGTGACCCCCCCCCCCCGGTCTCGAGTGTACAGCTGGTGGAACTGGAAGTAGCTAACATCCATGATGGATGGGTACTTGTCGATGACGCTGCGCCGGCCGGCGTAGAGGTCCCGCATGGATTTCTTGAGGGCGCCCTCCCCCGCCGCACCGTCGAGGTTAACCTGGCGTGTGCTGGTGGAAGGGTCGACGACGAGGCGTACGAAGCTGAAAGAAGAAGAGCACAGCTTGTTCCCGAGGAGCAGCCGTGCCGTCTCCTGGGCGGAAATGTCGCGCTCGCCCGTACACTTGAGGAACACGCTTCGCAGGACTGTTTGCGCCTCGTCAGCGTCATCGTCCGCGCGACCGATGGCCCGGGCGAAGACGTCGGCGGCGGCGGGCGACCGCTTCTCTCCTTTGCTCACATACTTCACCATGTACCGCACCGCCTGGTCCCAGTCCAAGATGAGTTGGAAGTCGATGTTCGCCCGCCAATGAGAGAGAGCAAGGCGGCAGTAGCTGTTGAGATTGCCGTCGTTGCGCTTGGTTTTGATGGTGGCTCTCACGGAGCCGTTGTCCATCTCCTCGAACTGCAAGGAGGTCTCGGGTTGACACTCGTGCGGGAAGCCGAAGCGACACCCCTGCCGCCCAGCGCGCTTGCAGTACCCTTCAGGACGGCAAACGTGGCGCTGGCAGCAGTTGATGAGTCCGTCGATGTCGGCACGGCCTGTGGCCTCGTCGCTGACAGGCCCGTGCTTGAAGGGGTTGACGGAGCATGGGTGAGGGTCTGGCACTCCCCCCGGATGGGCGGCGCGCTCCTCCGTAGACCGAGTGTTGACGGTGCAGATGAGCCAATCGGCGTATCTGCAAACCTTGTCGTCCGCTGTTTTGCCGTCGGCGACGGCTCGCTCCAGAGCCTGGCGTTCTTCCTCGTCGCCGATCCCCCCCTGTCCGGCGGCCAGGCCCTCGGCCGCCTCCATCCGTTCGGCCGCCTTCCTCCCAGCGTACGCTTTGCAGACGAGGTTGACGATACCGGGATCGTCTTGGAGCCAGGCACATCCGTGCGCGTGCGTGCTACCCCTCCCCTGGTACTCAAGCCTGTACCACAGCGACTGGGCTTGGAGTACACCGCCGAAAAAGGCGGAGGTGAAAGCGTCCGCCCTGTTGCCGAAGTAGGTGTCGGCGATATGCGGGTTTTCAATGAGGGCCCTCCGTTTGCCCGCTGGGGAGTCCTGGTACCCTGGTGGCATCAGGTCGAAGAGGCCGTCCCAGTGGGTGTCGGCGGCAGAGAGCGTGAAGAAGAGAGTAGCGCAGCCCTTGGTGGCAAAAATCGCCTGGAGCTCCTGCTGCTTGGCGTACCAGTACGGCCTAGACCCGGTGATGTTGGCGCCGTACCGGCACATGCGCTGTGTGAGCTGCTGCGCCAGCGGCGAACCCGACCGGAACAGATGCCTCATGTGCTCTATCGTCATGGCGGCGTCCCCTGGGTTTTGCTTGAGGTAGACCTGCGCCTGGCTGAGCATCCTGTGGCGTTCGAGCATGTTCTGGCACCAGTGAGGAAAACGGGGGTGAGATGCAAAGCGGTAGCGACCGTCCCGGAAGAATTTGAGAAGGTGTCTCATGCCGTCGGTGGGCTTGACGCTCCTGGACCGTGCCGGGTCGGTGGGGTCTCCCTTCCCCCATGGGAAGAGGGCGGGGAAGGCCATGGACGCGAGGCCTGTTGTCTTGAACTCGTTCAGGGCGGTCGCCTCCATCCCAGGCCAGGCGTTGACCGGAACATCCGCCCCGCTCTCCCTCACCTGCCTCCGCAGGGCTGCTTCAATCGCGCGGTCCTCGAGCATGCTCTTGCCTGCCGGAGCCATAAAGGACTCCGTGTCCTCGGGGGTATCGCCGTCCTCCTCCCCTCCCCCCTCCCCCCGAGGGCCAAGGTCACGCTCCGAGTCTCCCCCGCTGACGGTGGTTCGCAGTCCACGTAGTTGCCCGTCGACGGGGAGCTGGGATAGGGCCGTGTTGTCAAGGACGATGTCGCGGTAGTACGGGTTGTTGGCAATGAGCCATTGCAAAGCCCGTTGCACGCGAGCCCTCCGCACGTGTAGGTCCTTGTGCTGGCCGGGTTCCTGCCCCTCCCTCCGGATGATGATGATCGGTACATCGGCGGCCAACCTGGGGAGGGCAGCGGCTAAGGTACTGATGTCCTGAGCGACGTTGACGACATGGCCACCGTACCCTAGCTGCCCACCCTTGAGGTGGAGGACGCGCATGATCGGACAGCACCGCGCGATGAGCATCTCCTCCGTCTGGGTCAGGCCCTGGAGCTCGACGGGTACGCTCCCAGGATCCATGGTGTTGTCGGCGGAGAACAGCTTCGGACTCTTCTTGTCCTTCTTGCACCGCGGACAACTGTACGAACCAGCGGGTGTGGGGGCGGCAGGTGGTGGGGTATAGAAGGGTAACGTGAGGGCCGTTGCCAACATCAGTGGAGAGCACCTGGCATATGCGGTAGGTATGCAAATTATGAATATCCCGACCAAAGTTCGATCCCTGCTCATGCATTTTTCTATCCACTTTCCTTTTTTCCATTTTTCTTTTCCCAGGCATATGGTATCCTCCATACATCAGTGTATTTTTCTGGTCCTTTTCTTTTTTGCAACATTGCAACATGATGCAACGTGATGCACCAAGCCGACACGTTCATGTCGACGCGTTTGAACACGAAAGACCACCCACCTGTAGACGGCACCTCCGTCCCCTGGTCCGTCCCCTGGTCCGTCCTCTGCGGTGTCCCAACGTTCAGAGCACACTGTGCACACGTGCATCCTCCGGGCGGTCATGGGCTGCTGGAAATTCGTTTGCATCTCTAATCTGGCCCAACCCAACTTTTCCAGCGGCCTAGCAGCGTGAAACTCCGCAAGATCTCTCCGCTTCACATTAGCCTCCCTCTCTCGCCTGGCCCTCTCGGCATCTCTGGCCGCGGCTCTGGCCGCTGCTGCCCGTTCTCTACCCGCTGCACGCCTGCGAAGTGGGGCCCGTGAGGTTAGTCTCAACGTGTAATCTGCAAAGAAGGCAGCAGCGTGATGCGTGATCTGCAAAGAAAGGCAGCGTGATGCGTGCGTGTGGACCATGCGAAGTTGACATGCGGCGAAAAGTATTTTGCAAATTCCAAAAATGCTGGGTACCAACAACCTTTTATGCATGCAATGCACACCACACCAATGCACACCACACCTGGCCTCTGTCGCTTGTGGTGTCTGCTGCTGGCGCCTCGCAGCCTCTCTCTCTCGGTTATCCGCCAGCTGCTGTGGTGTTTGCCGCTGGCGCCTCGCAGCCTCTCTCTCTCGGTTGACCGCCCGCTGTTGTGGTGTCTGCCCTCGCAGTCGCCTAGCGGCGGCTGTAGCGGCGGCTCTCTGCCGGCCCGCCCGCAGCCTGTGTGTGTGTGCCGTGCGTACGAAGTGTACGATGTGTTGTGTGTGGGCAGTAGTCGTGCTGTGTGCGCGGAAGAAGAAAGCAGTAGTAGTCTGCAGTAGTAGTGCTGTGTGCGCGGAAGAAGAAAAGGCAGTTGGTGTATTTGAACTCGATTTCCCCTCTCCGGCAATCGCCGCCCAGACGCACGCACACGCAACGCACCTTTCTGCCCGTGCTCCATCGGTCTCCGCCGCACGCCTGGCGGCAGTCCTCTGACGAGCAGCAGCTCTCGCCCGGTCAAGCTGTGGGCTGCCTAGGGGCTCCCTCTCCCCGTGGCTTTGTCTGCGCCGCGAGTCTGTGTGCGTCTCTGCCTCACGGAGGGAGTTCGGGTCAATCGGCCCCAACGGACGTCTACTCATCATGCAATTGCCATGCCATGCAGGCCGCTGTGGCTGTGTCCGCTCTGCGCTGTTGGTGTGTCGCTGTGCCCGCTGAGCGCGTGTTGTCTGCTGTGCGTGTGTGTTCAGTCTGCTCGCTGAGCGCGTGTTGTCTGCTGTTGCTGTTTGCTGCTCTGCTGTGTAAAAAAAAAAAGTGCGCCCTGTAGTCACAAATCAAGTCCTGTACTCTAAAACCTAGTTTAAGCGAACACAACACACGCACGCACTTTTTTTCCTGCATCGGCCCCTATATTGCGCTGAGCCCTCTCAGGCAAGATTAGAAATCTCGCTTCGCTCGAATAAATACGCGTACATCACTCACCGCTTGTGCCTGTATGCATAGCCTGCCGAACTATTGATTCCCTCCGCATGTAGTTTTTCCGACACCCCCCCCCCAACCCCTAGTAGTGATATCGATAGGGTAAGGGGGAAATTTGTAAAACACCTTTGGCAAAGTAGAAAGGAACGATGTGGCCATCGGTGATAGGGAACAATGCTCCGTCCCCTCGAGGACGCGTGATCATTTGTCTAACCGCTAGATGTAGAAGGCATGCTCGTTCTGTGGAAGAGATTAATATTGGTGTGCTCTCTGCAAGAAAAAACAAATGAGTACCAAAGGAACGATTGACGATCGGTGATCGGTCCTGTGGGAAGGCACAATGCTCCGTCCTCTCAAGGACGCGTGGTCAATGGCCTTAACCCCAGTGCAAGCAAAACGCAAGAGGAACCCCCCCCTCCCTCCCCTTATTCTTCACCGCCCTTCGTCTCCATGATAGGCCTCCTCGCACCCGCGCAGCTGGTCGTCATCTGTCCGCACCCATGGTAGTGGAAGAACTAGCGCGAAAGGCATCTCCTGCCTGAGGAGCAGCGCTTTCAGCGGCAGCGACTTGTCAGCGACCATGATCCAGGGGCGGGCGGCGGGTAGGCAGCAGCAGCGGGGCCGCTACTCCGGCAGCGGAGTCGGGGGATTGGAAGCGGCTGTTTCGGACGTTTTCCCAAGGTGGGCGGGGCTCTGATGGCGCCAAGTCAACAGCAGCAGTAGCCTTGGCGAGGTTATTTGTCTTGGTTTTAGTGTGAGGTACGGGGTGGGGTTAGGGCTAGTGACGCTGGTGACTTAGCCCCCCTCGCTATTTTGCATATAGCCCTAAGCTAAGGAACAAGCTGAAAGAGGTAAAGAGAGGACACACTTTTGCTCGGTTTTAGTAGGGGTTACGCATTTGGCTTAGGGTTACGTAACCCCCTCTCTATTTTACAATCGTATAATGTCCTCGCGAGGGCGGTCCAGCCAAGTTGCGACAGCGAGCCTGGTGTTTTTCTTTTTGTCAACATGGGATGTACCCCAGTGGTCAGTAGCCCTTTGTTATATGTTTGTTGCCCCGCCCCACACCCATGCGAATGTAGCGCTGGTTAAGGGTACCCCCCACCCTCCGGTTAAACGGCCATGGACAACCTTTGTGGCAGATACAAGAATGTAGCAAACAACAGTAGTGGCGATTGATAGCGCGGCCACAGGCTGGAATACAGAAGCGACGAAGACAGGTGACAACGACTCGAAACAATGAGCAATGGTATCAGCCCTTCCTTGCGACGTTGACTCCCATGTATCTATCCGAACGGAGCTTTGTCCTGCGTAGGCAATTGCCAAATCACGAAGGCGAGCAATACAAACAAGCCAAGTGTAGGCTTTCATTGATTCAAGATATGCCCAATATCTAGAGGCTTTTCTCCCACTGGCTGCAAAGACTCCAAGACCCCCCTTCGACTACTGTGGTATTATTTCGAACGGGTACTAAAGTCGTTCTACGATTGTATGTATACGATCTAGAACCAAGCAAAGTATCCCCGCCGCCCCCCCTCACAGGTTCAAAAGGCGAAGGAAGGCCTCCGCCGAAGAGAACACGCCTCCTTTGTATCGCAGCGTCAAGACGACGATGAGACCTCTGAGATTGCCGGCTTGGCCGGTCCAAAACGGTGAGAAGATGATGACGGTGCATGGGTTGTTGTCGACCACAAGTGTGTTCCCCGCTGTCTACTGCTGCGCCCCCTGTTTCTCTTTGTTCTCTCTCTCTCTGTCTCTCTCTCTCTCTCTTTCGTGTCTTTTGATTGCGGAGCTTGACGACCTAAAGTATCGACGGAGGCGTTGCCAGCAGTACCGGTACACTAAAGTAACAGTGAAGCACATGTAGGCGGTTGTGGGGATGAGAGTCAACAGGACTAACCCGCGCTCATCCCCGGATTCTGCCATATATGCCCAGCATGTGATACATTCAGCCAGGCGTTTGTCTTGTGCTTTTCCTGGCCTGGCGCAATCGTTGCTGCATTCGCCAGACTCGCCTTGTGTATCATTCTTATCCGCTAGTCAGTGTTTTTTGGTTCTGGCCCTCTTGAGGCCGTAATCGTCTCTCAAGGGGATTGCTTGCAGGAACATGCCGCACGGCGCTGCTGTGGTACAGAAGACGCCTCCACTCAAAGGCGTATTTTCTTCTTTGAGAAAACCAGCCGCAGGTTTTTTTTATGGGGTGGGTCCAAGTTGGAATTTTTCAAAAATGTACAGCGTCAAGTTCCTGTCTACGAATATCTTGAGTGGCACGTTCCGTACGTGTTCCAAATCGATCCCCCTCCCCTACCCCTTTCTTCCCTGCGTTCCTACTGACAGCTGTGGACCTCCTCTCCCTCCGTATCCATCACGTGTATCTGTGTTTATTCACATTTGATCGTGTGGTGTGTGCGCTAAACCAATGAGTGCCAAACAACCTTGAACGGCTCACTCAACAAACAAACAACACGACCGACGCAAACGTTCAGGGTTGATCTACACGGCCCTGGACTTCTTGCGCCTCCGGAAGCTGGCGCTACACCTGGAGGACCTGTGGGGCGGGCGCGTGGGTGTCCTCCAGCCACCGAACCAAGTGGAATCCGACCCGTTCATCATGCTCGTGCACCACCGACACACGGTGCGAATGAACACATGCGGTGTTTGCACCGCCGGCCGCCCGGCCCCCGCATTGCGTTTTTGGCACGCTCGCGGCCGTGGCCGTGCTATGCATACACAACCTGAAGGGGGGCAGGCTCCAAGCCCAGCCAGGGCTCCGTCCCATTGTGCCTATTTACGGTGGAAATGATAACGGGACATGACCATATATGCATACATGCGCTTAATTGTACAATACCGCTTACCGTCTATGGTTTTTTCGCTTGTTTGGTTTGTGAAGTCCGTTCTGCCGTCCCCCCGCCGCCTCGTCTGCTGCCAATCGGTCGGCCTTCCTGACTGGCTGGCTGCTTGCTTGTGCATGAACTGCTTGCTGCCTACCACGTGTTTTTGCTTGTTTGGTTGATGAAGTCCGCTCTGCCGCCCCCCTGTCGCGTTGCTGTGTCCACTTGTGGGTGAAAAGTTCTGGCCCCTGGACCCGTTCCGACCGATCTCGAATATGTTCGTGCCGGAGGGATTCCCGGCCCACCCGCACCGAGGCTTTCAGACCGTCACGTACGTCATGAGGGTGAGTGGTTGAAGTGTGTGCCGTGTGGAGGCGTATTTCGTGCACACGTACGTCCTCTCGCCGATAACCAACAGGTAATTTGTAAATTGTTGTAAATGGTGCGCGCACGATGTACGTGTCCTTCCCCGACAATAAGCTATGCATAGTACAATCGTATATGGGCATATGCTCCCCAAAAATGAACCATTCGCGAATATGGGTGAGTTGAGCGAGAGTGTGTGAGAGAGAACCCGGAATACTCACAACCGCCAAAACCCCCGCCCCCCTATCATTTTTGTGCCTCACGAAGGGTGTGGGATGCCCGGACATTTGCACAATCGCCCTCCTCTCTCAGTCAACCGCTATGAGCTTCCCAGAACCTTCGCCCGAAACTCCACCCCCGCCTTAGTGCTACTGTTATCGTTCGCACGTCCAGGTCGATGCCTTACGAGCACAATCGAGAACCGGAATCCGTGTGTGTGTGTTTGTTGCTGCTTTGCTTGTGATCTATTTTTCAGGGCGGTATGGTACACCGGGACTCGATGGGGCTGAAGCAGCGCTACGGCGCGAACGCGGTGCAGTGGATGAGCGCCGGAAGGGGTATCCTTCATGAGGAGATGTGGGACATCAAGGACAAGTGGGAGAAGGCGGACATGGAGCTATACCAGATCTGGGTAGGCTCCCCTCTCTCTCGTGTCTGTTGCCGTGCTCGTCTTCGTTTTTCGTTTTTTTCTTTTTCCCTTCTCCTAGCCTTGATGATTTGTTCCCGAGATTGGCGTCGATCTGTTTTTACTTATGATTTGTTTTTTGTTATCTCATTCATTTGGACGTCGGTGCTTGCACGTTTCGGTAGGGTCTTCTGGACCGCACTACCCGGGGTCACGCAGGATTTTCTTTCTCCGCCTTCCTTATGCGTCCTTGCCGCATGTGGCACGTAATATTTGTTAATTTGGAGTCTTGTTGCCGCTGCTGTCATTGTTGTGCGTGGGCGGAGGTGGAGGTGTATTGCACCGCTTCTGCGGATGGTTTCGAACCCCATGAACGCTCTTTACGTTTGCCGCTTCCGTTCCTCGAGGGGTTCTTGGTCCTCGGTCGCACGACCACGGTAAACCACGAAGAACGCCGTCCTTTGTCTCGACGCTCACCCCACCTTGTTTTTTTCTTCTTTTTTTTTTGTAACGTCCGACCAGGTGCAGCGCGAAAACGGCTATCCTTTTCTCTGGCGCTCAAACCCGGTAATTTTCCATCCGTTATTTTTTCTTGTTTTTTCCTTCTTTTTCTTTCCTTTTTGTACGTACGACCAGGTGAACCTCCCAAGCTCGCTCAAGATGACGAGGCCGCGTATTCAGCTGGCGGGAGAGGGGACGGGGTCTCCCCTCCCGGTGGCGACGCCTTCCAAGGGAACCGAGGTCATCGTCGTGGCTGGAGAGGCGAGTACCAGCATGCGTGTCCGAATGAAGGAGCCTTGTGGGGGCTGTTAGATCCGAACAAGTTTTTTTTCAATTTACTGCTGGGAACGGTGGAGGGGGGATGCTCTAGAATCCCCATAGTGTGGAACGCCACCGCAGTCTTGGGGACTTGACTGTCTGTGGCATTCAGTTCTATTGTGGCCACGTGCTAGATGTCGAGGCGTACTCCCTGTGTCTTTCCCTACAGTTAGGGCCCGCTCTTAGTTTGCCCGAGGCTTGTTTAGTGTTTTGCTTATGGGGTAGACTACTGTATCCCCACGGCGACGATGAGTGTATGGGCTTCTTGACCGAGGACCTGTTCTTATGGTCAAGTCCTTTTGTTTTGGAAATTTTGAGGCTCAAGTTCTTGGCTACCAAGTTATTGAGCGCGGGCCCTAACCGTACCCCCGTCGCGCTCCCTAACCGCAACCAGTTGTGCAACGAGACATCTCCCGTGGAGACCATGCAGCCCCTGTCGATGCTGCACGTGAAGATGAAGGTCGGGGCCGAGCCGTGGGCGCACCACGTGCCCTGGGGCCACCACTGCCTTATCTACGTGCGGCGAGGGGACCTGACCGTCGTCCCCACCGAGGAGGGCTACTACGAGGGAGACGAGGACCGAGAACCGCAGGTGATGTGTTTGTGTGCGTAATTTTTTGTTGTTAGCGTCGACCGCGCTAACCAGCTGACCGATGAAAAGACGTCAGTCTCAGTGCGGTTGAAAGCACAAATGTGTGTGTATGTGTGTTGTTGTTGTTGTTGTTGTTGTTGTTGTCTTTACTTCAAATCTTGTTGGTGCACGTGTATTGTCCTTTTTGTGAGACGGTGATGTGTTGTTGGTGCATGCTAGCGAGTCGGTGATGTGATGCCGGTGCGTACTTGTTGCTGTATGAGACGGCGACGTGTTGTTGGTGCGTGTTGCACGAGACGACGGGTTTTCGTCTCCAGGTTCTGTCTGCGCGAAAGGCTCATGTTCTCTCGAGCCCAGTAGCCGTCGCGAAGATGTGAAGCTTGGTTTTATTGAGGGGCTGGGGGTGAGGGATCGGGATTCGACCCCCCCCCCTTATCAATTCCACGGATTAATAATAATTTTTTCGCGAAGGTGGTCCCTCGAGCCTGGTGTGTTCTCCACACGCCACACTTGCACGAAAGAACGTGAGCCACTGGCGCTGAGTCTGGAGACTTTCTATTGTGGCTTTCACTCTTGTCGGGATTTGTACTGTTTGTATGGAGCGAAGGTCGTCTTTGAGGCGGTCTTGGCTTCAGAATGTTGTTCTCGCGGCTCCTGGTTGCATGCTTTGTGGTGGTTGTTATCGATGTATTTTTTTTGTGTTGGTTGCTGTTGTCGGCTCGACCGCAGTAGTCCATGACAAATGAAAATCGGCATTGGCTAGGGCCCGCGATGCTGTGATAGCATGTAGGCGTCCGAGGGTATTGGACTATGAATCACCCATTGACGTCCAGCAGAGCTTTTCCCCTGCGGCACCCCCTGGCCTGCACACACTCGCCCTCCCCTGCTCCCCCGCGAGTGCGCTCCGTCTCGAAAGGGATGCAGTACATGCATGTGGCCATCGTTTTTTAAGTTCCTCAAGAAAACGCCAAACGGGCATTTCTTCGCCGCCTTTCAAGTGGCCCTGTTCTGGAGCATAGGTCATTTGCCCAATCTCACTGGGGCACTGCTGTAGTCGTCAATGGTCTCAAAACATACCAGGTGTCGATTTATGATATTAGACACTGACAAGTACCCCCGCCCAAAAAATTAACCTTGCCTCCGCAACAGCTTGTTCCTACCGCTACCGCCGTCTCGTTGGAGGACGACGGCGACTACGCGAGGTTCGAGAACAGGGGGAAGGAAGATCTGGACTTCATGCTCATCGAGGCCGAGCCGACGCGGGAGAGCATCGCAACGCGGGTAAGCGGGAATTGTCTATCTATGTATGCGTATGCATACCAGGAATATCCTCGTACAGGGTCTTCAATGGCAAAAATGCGGCCGGCCTCACGGCTTGTGATGTTTTTCCCCATCTCTCCGCTTGTGCGTTTGTGATGATGTGAGAAGTTCATCCGGTAGTTATCGGTCATGCTCCATTGGCGCAACAAGGTGCTGGACTCGTTTTTTTTTTTTTTTGACAGTCCGTGAAATAGAACATTTTTTACACAATCTCTTTCTTCTTTTCCCCACTCGTTTCGCATCCCCTACATCCAGCGGTTTTCGTTAATTGTCGGCAATCTCTACTACGGTTGATTCGATCCTCCTCCTTGTTGTTGCTCTCTCGTTCACGCCCATACATACGTTGGTGGGAATATTGAAGGGCTCGATGGTGATGAACACGGAGAAGGAGTGCGACAAGGCTTACAGAGACTTCAGCGAAGGGTTCTTTGGGGTACCGTGGGACAACCGCCTCAACGACGACGAATGGAGAGAGGTGAATGGGATTTCTAAAGAGAAGTAGATCGAGAGCGAGAAATCATCGAGAGACAGGAGTAACTAATCGTCGCACGTTTGTCGTTGTTTTCGGCCCGTACGATGCAGACCGACTGACAGGTGAACGGTGTTTTGGTATGACGATTATTTCGTCTTTTGCAGGCCAGGACGCTTTCTTGTTCACAGGGCCCCTTGTGTGTTGGAAGAGAGACAAGACACACAGACACATACACAGACACACAGCCGAAGGATAGTTTAGCCCCCCCCATGCTGCCCCCTTGCGGGGTCCCAGTTCATGGCAGATATATGTGTGTTTTGTTTTCAACTGCACTAAGACGGATGTCTTGTCATTGGTCAGCCAGTTAGCTCGGTCGATGCTAATAATAAAAACAGAGAGCGCCATTCTGCACTCCAAGCTAGCGCAGAAAAATCTGGTAGCACGTTCGTCGATCGATGCAACTCCAACAAACGGTTTCCACAAGGTGGGCTTGCAATTCGCGTACGAATCATCCCACCCGCTCTCTCTCGCCCTGCTCCCCGTATATCACTTCCCTCTCCGCAGTACGTCCAGGGGGCTGGTGGGAAGAGAACAGGCTACAGGAGCGACGAGCGATGAGTTTGCGGTCCTATTTTTCCCGGGTCTGCTCGCATTTTTGAAGCTGTTTTCTCCATAGAATTCGTGCCATAGGCCAGCTTGGACACGAGCCCCTGCTT